TTGACGACTCTGACGGGTGTTTCAGGAATTTCGACGGATTCGCCGAGGACTTGTAATTCAGTTTCATAGTTTTCCACTGGTATTGTGTGACCGTGGTGTGAAGCAAACCCGTAGCACGCGCAGCACAGCAATATCATTAACTTCTGTAAAAACAAAATACATATTAAGCACATACCTACTTAAATAGTCACAAACAGTGTTCCTATTATAACTTTCGTGAGACACACTAAATTAATTTTATGTTACTAAATTAATTAATTTTCCTTTTTGACGAAGAACTCAACTAGTAACAGTTAAAATCATAATCAGAAACAAAATAAGAATAAGCACTGCACTTTAAATAATTAGTAACTAATAAGGTGGAGGTACCTATGTAGAACAGAAATTGCATAAGTTATTTTAAAAAGGGATATGAAACTTATGTAAATGTTGCAACTGTATTGTCAACTGTAATAATTTTTTTCCTAGCTGACGTAACTACTAGTGAGTGCAGAAAAGGAAGTGGTCATTACGTAAATAATTATGTAACATCGACAACATAAGAAGCTTGATAAATAAAAAAAAAACAAAACAAAAATGACAGCAATCGGAGCAGTGCAACGAGAGCAATTGAATTATTTACTAACCGGTATTTCCATTGTCGTACAAGTGTGCGTCTCCGGCGCAGTTAAAAAACTACCGAATGGCGAGTCAGCTTAGTGGCTTATATATCGCACATTCTCTCTGGGCGAGAGACAGGCTTACGTTCGACGCTTTGATCGTCCAATTACTTTCTTCAGCAGTCACTTGTGTTTGTTGCAGGCTCGAGTAGTGGTCTGACTAGGCTCTCAATAAATAGGTTCCTACGACAACGTGATCGCATCGATACTTTACAAATGAGTATCTGTAACCGAATCTTGCTTACTCAGCTCCGTGGCCGTGTCATACTAAGGGTAAAAAAATATTTATATTAATAATTCAATTAAGTAGGTATTGCATACAGGTAGACAAAACTTACATCTTCGCGGAAATCTCACCTTTTAGGTACATGTAGGGTAACTACGTGTAGGTAGGTGTTTTGATTAATTTACCCATGCAAGGTTTCATATCACTTTGGCAATTGGCATTGATGACCTACTGTTGTTATGGAAGAACGGTACTAAAATATTCTCGCATTTCTAAATTTTAGTAAGACCAGATGGTCTTACTAATATTTATTTATTAGTACTTATTATATATATAAACCATTTATTTGTAGTTATTACTACTAATAAATAGATACAATACACTGTACAATATTTGGTCAACAACCTATGTGATGGAAACACATCTGGGGTAGGTACGTTAGGTAGTGTGAAATTTTTTTATTTATTTTAACACTTTACAATATGACATCTTACAGTTTATTCCAATGCAATATCACATTTCCTGACATATTTAAGTCCAACATGTAACTTAATAAAAATTTAACCTTAATTAATAGACTTAATAAGAGTTAGGTACATACTCTCAGTATGACTTACATATTATGACAATATAAACTCTATTTATTATATATTTATCTAAATTATAAACTCTATATACTTAGGCTATACATATCGAGGGGTAACGGACTATTTGGTTTGGTTTAAGCGACATTTTGGGCGATTTTGAGTTATATATATATTCGGAATCAGCGAATCTTTCTCCGTCGAATATATGTAATAACTCAAAATCGCCCAAAATGTCGCTTAAACCAAATAGTCCGTTACCCCTCGATATATATTTTTTTTTATGGGGGGAAAATCATCGAATGACATACATACATTTAGGTTCAGATTTCGTTAACTAACTACAGCTTCACGTAAATAGGTACAGGGTACTTACACTTACTTACATAGGTCTCTTCATCAAACTACCTACATACATATTATGTGGCCAAATAGAGATAGAAAATACACACGGCCACACATCAATCTATACAAAACCAGTTTATCCTGGTATCGCGTCGCATCATCTTTCTGCACATTTAACGTTCAGTTTATACTGGTTATGTAAAGCTCGGTGTGTAGCCGTGTGTAACTACAACTGGTCCGGGTGCTCATTTGTATGTCGGTGGAATTCAATCATAGAGGCAATTGTCACTTTGTCCCGCTGATCTACATTTTCACGAAAATCACATTAAAATTGAATAAATTTTCGCGGAACCGAAACCTATATTTGAAGCGTTTTTTTATTAAATGCATGTTATTTTACTGAATAAAATATGGTGATAAGACAGGCCCCCCCTTGTAGGAAGTCTAAAAATAAAAAATACTTTAATACCTCCGATAGTTTTTTGTTTGTGATCAGTTCAGTTCATTCAGTCAAAACGAAAGCTAGTAGTAACATCTCAACCGTTAAGAATCTGAACCCCATTCCCAGAGCAAAAAGTTAAGGAATGAGTACATAATGACCTCTCTTCTGCCCCTATCTGATTTGATTCATACTTCCAAGGACACCTGTACTTTAATAACCATGTGTGTACTTTGAAGGTGATTGAGACCCCGTGAGTTTGTATTGGCATTAATTTCTTCTTTGTTTTTAAAAAAACGTTGCCCCACACTAGGATTTTCTCCTGTGTCGTAGGTGCGTTTACAAACATACAAGTTCACAAACACATGACACCCAGACCCAGAACAACAACTGCGGGCGACTGACCGGGGGAGTCAGACGTCCGCTATATAGGCGGGAGTAGGCGTTAGCGTAGTGTTCCACGCGCGCTACTTGAAGAAGGAAAGCAGCCTCCTAGGGCCGCTAAGGTGGCGGGATCTGCCGCAAACATAGCGGTAGGTGGAGACCTGCCGGATGTGGTGATTCCGTAAGGGCAACCCGGGTCACAGTCGCAGGCAGTGAAGGAACACCGCGGTGGTTTTAGCCGGTAGCCGATTGGAAATTCTCATCTATTTAATACTTTTAAACGAGCAATTCTGAACTGTACTTGTATAGTAAGTAGGTATATGTTAGGCTGTATAATATTATTATTCATAATAGTACGAGAGATGACGACCAAAACCATGTCTCATAGCAATACGGCAAAAACCCTATAAAATCGTTAGATTATATGCTTCTGAACCCGACTAGGTGTGGAGTAACGGTCGAAAGTGTAGCAACTGCGTGGGTGGCCATTTCTGCTGTGTCAAAAATATCTGAGTATCGAAAAGTTGTCTGACAGAGAAGGTGCTACACTTATTTTGTCTGATATAAATTTTTTGCACATTCAGACATATTGCCATGATACCGATCGGTAAAATTTGTTAACATTTTCAAAACGGTCTCAAAATTTAATGCGTTCACATTTCCGTCTGAAAATTGTTTTGTTCGCATCAAATAACCAAAATTTACTAATAAAAAAGATTTTCAGACGTATTGCTATAAGACATTTTTTTTGTCTATTTTTTAATTTTTTTAAGTGATTTTACGGGTTTGCGCTACACCACTAACGTCTGAAAAATATGTTTCCGGTATTTTAGAACTATCATTCAACTACAGTCTGCAAATCAGACATATTGCTATGATGCAGTTCGGTAAAATTCTTTGACAATTTTGAAAATTCGGTCAGATCAAACGCTACGCGGAAAATGTCTGATATTGGTATTTTCGAGTTCAGGATAATCGTATCTATCGATTTGATGCGGTTTTGGCCATATTGCTATGAGACAAAAATTTTGATCGTCATCTCTCGTACTATAATGATTGGTACGATGCATAATAACCAAATTGCATAATGAATCTGATAAATTAATCATTTTATTCAGATATTATAAATAATAGCAGGCTCAAGTTAACTAAAGTGATAAATACGATCTAACAGCCGGTAGTTGTGGATTTAGTTGTAACGGTATTCGAGGGTGGTAAAACTGACGGTGCTATTAAAATGTATTTCCAAGAGGGCCGGCTGCACGAAACTTTAATTTATCGTTATGGGTGTCGTTTTCATGGTTTTCGAGGGTAGTAAAATCGACGGAACTGTCAAAATGTTAATCCAAGATGGCGGCTGATCAAAAATCACGCCTTTTTATCCCCGACGGGGTAGGCAAAAGTGCACATTATGGCACTTAATGCCATAATAGGAGGTGAGTCTATTGCCATATACCGGGAAGAATACCAGACTCCACGCTACTACTGAAATATCCAAGTCTTCGAGGATATTACTAATAATAGCTAGTCATTGTGATTAATTCTGCTTCATTTATCACTCACCAAATTCAGTATATAGGTATTATGTAATGATGAAATAATATCGAATTAATCATTTGGCTATAAAATAATATATATCATCGTCCTCGGAAATGGCTCCATCGATTTTCTTGAAATTTTGTGTATTAGAGTTTCGGGGACGATAAATCGATCTAGCTAGGTTTGATTTTCAGAAATTTGTTTAATGTAATAAAAAGCTTCTATCTTGTTATTAGAATACGAAACTAAAAAATTACCAATAGCGTTTAAATAACTAATTCGGGAAATTAGGTACCTTCAACGCAGGACATTCGGATTCAATACGCGCCCCGAATGATTCTCTTATTTTTTTTGTTTCTTATTTTATCTTTCGGTAACCTGAGTCGCCCTCACATTTGGCAGATATCCTTTTGCGGTAGGTCCCGCCAAAGTAAGCGTTCTTAATGGAACTGATTATTTTTATTGGGTATCGCGCATGAACCACTACACTAACATACAGCGGACGACTGACTAGCCTGTCGCTAGCAGGTCTCAGGTGTGCAGGAAAGACAGCTTGGCACCTCCTCTCTTTCCGGCAACTATGTTGTCAATATGACTTAAATAGCCCTAGTAAGTTATATTGTATACTAGCTGACTCTGCTAACTATGTACCACATAAAACATTTTCTCACTTTTTAAACCTTCCCTGGACTTCCACTCCTTCATTAGCCAACTTGGTGCAGTTCGAAATTTATTTTCATTTATATAGATAACTTACTAGGGGATAGGGATTAGGGATTACCCTATAGCAAATTAAGGTAGAATAGAATGAATAAAATAAACGATGACTGTTTTGTATTTTATTGACCTTTGTGTTGAAAACATCTGTTACTAAAGACATTTACAGTTTGTTAATTTATATCTATCTGTAAAGACTTTGTTATGAAATATTGTGTATTTTCAAATAAGAAAACTTTATTAGCATTTATATTGTTTATAAAAGATTTATATTGTTTATATTATTACACTTTCATTCTGTCAGATAGCACTCTGACTATGGATCCGGAGCCTCCAATGTTAAATGCTTTTTCGTGCCATAGCAGCAGGTGCCCACTAGATCCTTCTGTGGGACATTCAAATCCTCTGTAAATATATTTCATCAGTATATCTATGTCATCCAGACATAGATTACCCACAGCCTCTTCAATTTGTGTAGACTTGATAGCGAGTAGCACTTTCAAAGTCAATGCTAAGGCATTGTCCTGCAAATTAAAACATAACTCATATTAGTAAACCATAGAACAGTAGAAAGGTAAAGGAAAAATCATATATTAACTACTTGTTAACTTTTTACCTATTTAGACTACAGTACTAAACTAATGTCTATTAAAGCAAGACTTACTTTGATTTGTTGGTTGGCTGATCCTACTGGTGCATTGTTCAGAACAACCTTCAGGGCATCAATATATCGACCTGTATTGTAGAGTTAAAGAAATAATAAAATTAAAATGCACACATCATTAAATTTTATCTGTTAGTGGTTCAAATCCTAAAAATATTAGATATTCAACACACTAATCAGCCAAGAATATTCTTGATAGGTATGATTATACACAACAATCTTTTATTAGAAGAGGAAAATTCAAGCATTTTATATCGGGCAGCATAGAACCACTAAACATGTATATTCATATACACAATCCTGCTGATAAATACGATGATTCATACGTACTACAATGAGATAGTTAAAATATATAGTTAGTTTTAAAATATATTCAACAATTTCTGGAAATTTGGCATTGGTAATTTTGTTACATTTGAAATAACATGATAATGTATTAAAATGCATGTCAGTAAAAAGGATATTGATTCAATAAAGCGCAAACTTCGCCTTCATCCGGTCCAGTAGGAATCGATTGTTCTGCTTCATCTTCTTTAAAGTTATCTTCATTATATTGATCGATATCGATCTTACGAAAGGCAGAACTTGACGTGTTTTTCGCCATTTAGTCGATCGGCATTCAAAACACAAATATTTAATTATCAAGAATTGACTTAGTTTCTTTGGTTGAAATAAACCACTTACTGCCGATAAATTGTCAAAACTTGGTGTCACAGTGTCACTTGATTGTCCCTTGTCAGTGTAAGACAGTCAGTGCTGTCAGTGTCAGTAGTGGAAGAAAATATTGTCCATAGAGAATTTTGCGGGTTGGGGGTTGACAGCAGATTGTACGACTGCGGCCACGGCACGATTACGAAGACACTCCAAAGTTCCATGCGTTTTAACAATATGTATGAGTCTAGAACACTGATATGATAAAGGTTATCTAGATACCTATGGTCTAGAAAAGTTAAAGTTGCCACCATGATCGATATCGATCGGCAGGCTTTATGCGATTGAAACTCGATTGAAAGACTTGTATCTATGGTAACGAAAAAATTATAAAAAAATGAGCTATATCGACAATCGACAGCTGACAGTTCTGTGTCAAAGATCAAAGTAATTGCTAAATATTTTGTAGATTTCTGTGAAATAGAAAATTACTGAAAATTTATAAATTGTCCTACAGCATTTTTTTCATTGCGAATTGATAAACATCATTTTTGTAACCACAATGACAATGGGTGATGAACTACCTGTTACTTCTTTAGTTTTACCCGTCCTCATACGTCCCGTTTTAACACAGGTATGATAAAATAATGTATTGTTCTTTTACGTATTGCTTGTCTAGAGTAGGTCATAAATCACAGTTAAGGTGATAGCATTTAATTAAAAGAATTGCAATAACGGATTATAGACTGGACAGAAAAGTAGAGCAAGTAATATTAGTTGGAAGTGATTGTGACCAAACAGCTCTCAAATTAACATAATGGCACTTGTTGTGTAATGATACGTTTATGACATTATTAGTGTTTAATAATGATCCTCAATACTTGATTCATGTCATAATTTTGGCCCTGTAGGAGGTAGTATGGATTTAAAAATTTGTGATTAGGAATTATATATTTCTGTTGGTTTTGTAGTTGGAGAAGTATGATTTGGGTGCTTCTCAAACACTTCGTGCTGCTCTTACAAAAGCAGAGGCAGCAGTGCCTGGCCTCAACTATGACCTGGTGGCAGGAATCATGAGGAGAGCTGATATACCTGTGAACATGAATGAGAGTTTGCTACGGCTTCAAGGAACCTTAACAGAAGCTGAATGTGAGTAAAATTGTGTATATTTTTTCTGGTCCTCGACTGCCATCAGAAAACTGTTGAAGACAAATCCTCCGCTAATGTAGGTTACTGGTGTCCTATGCGGCAGTTGTTAATAGAAGCTAAATGTGCATACATTTATGTATATTTCTTCAAATTAGTGTTACAGAAATTATTAGTAGAAATTGTATTAATTTTAAAGTTTTTAGTGCTTCTTATAATAAAAGTGTGGAAGTAAATTCGTTTTTGAGGTTTTATTACAAACTTTGTGTCATTACTGTTGCAGGTGCAGACTTAAGATTGAACAGGACTGAGGAAGCATTCCAAGAATTGAATAAGAAGTCTACAGCCTTGAAGAAAATCCTGAGCCGAATCCCTGATGAGATTACTGACCGCAAGACTTTTTTGGAGACAATCAAGTATGTTAAGTATTCTCTTATACTCATATATTTAATTAAATGAAACAATTTTATTTTAATTGAAAACCTTTTTAAACCAAGAAAATGTTTGATTAATAAAGTTTACCAGTGCCAAAAGTGATTATTTAAACTGTCAAACACCAAGCGGTCACCGGTGACCGCAACCTATTGTTCTATAATTGTGTCTACAAAACCGGTACTCGACGAGTTAATCAGCTTAGCATTTATTTTTTATATTTAACACACACACACACACACATACACAGACTCATACTTACATACAGACATACACATATTGCAAGTTAAATAAAAGAACAAGTTTACAAAACCATTAAAGACCACATTTGATGTTTATTTAATAACAACTTATTATACTGTATAATAATATAAATATAATTTTATAATAATATTGTTTAGTTTACTGTTAAAGGTATACTTATTTCTCTTAATTTATAATTTATAAAACATGCAAATTACACATTTGCATATTTGAGATAAGCTGTATTATTTAAATTGTGAAATACAATTTGTTTGTTTACAGAGAAATTGCTTCCGCAATTAAGAAATTACTTGATGCTGTAAATGAAGTATCCACATATACACCGGGTACTGGTAAACAGGTTCTAGAACAGAGGAAGAGAGAGTTTGTGAAGTATTCCAAAAGGTTCTCCAATACTCTGAAGGAATATTTCAAGGAGGGACAGTGAGTACACATAATTTATTAAAGCATTACTTTCAAACTGAATACACAGAAATTTGGTGTATTTCTATATTAATATCATTTAGAGGAAAGATTTGTACCTATTTTTGTATGTTTGTAAGTTTGTAATGAATAGGCTCAAAAAGTACCGGGCCAATTTAAAAAAATCTTTGACCAATAGAATGCTACAATCTTCCAATTTGAAATAGGTTACATTTCATTTTGAAAAAAATTAGGGATCCTTGGTAAAATTTGAACAATGTAACCGAAGGTGTAGAAACTTGTACAAGTCTTAAAATGTCTTTCGTCGAATGCGCTGCGGAAACTATTAGCGATAGAACAAAATAATGTACAACAAAATTGAAGAACATCATAATGTCTACAAAAAACTCCGCCGTAGCATATGTCCAAGTATTGTAGTTATGTCACTACAACAATCCAAATTTCCAAAAATAAATAATTGTCTACCCCGTGCCGCGAAGCCAGGACGGGCTGCTAGTTCAATATAAAAAAATCGTTTATTTTTCTTTTATCTACTAACTTTTCTTTTCCAACTTCAAAGTGTTACACATACCCATTACACATATACATATACACACTTTGATGACTACCTCAACTACCTGTGCACTTTGCCAATATTTTTCAATTATTTTGTTACAGGGCTAATGCAGTTTTCGTCAGTGCTTTATACCTGATACACCAGACCAATCAAATCTTGTACACTGTTAAAAGTAAGTCTGAGTAAAATTCTAAGGAAACAGAAAACAGTATTTAAAAATATATACATTTTAACCAATTATATTGTATTATGTAAATGATTATATTACAAATATTATATTATTATAACATTACTTTTGTTGTTAATAAGTTGGGCACCTTAGTATAATTTTCTGTTAATATGTTTTTGGTCCATGGGTAGGGAATTATTGTAAACAAAACATTACTATGTAAATAATAATTATATAAAAATATGCAATGCCCTTATATAATAAGGTTTGGTAAAAAGGTGTGTAAGAACACTCATTGTTAAATCTTTGATTTATTGAGAAGTACATAAAAGTAACAATCTTAATGAATGTTCTGTTGTAATGCACATATAAATCTAAAATTATAGATTGGATGGTATATTTAGATATTTCACTTGAGAAATAAATATAGCTATTTTTTAGTATTTAGATAAAATTGTATAGTACCAGTTTGTTTTTGCTTATTATCACGGAAAATGAATACTGTTGAAAGTCATTCCTTGATATATTATTATCACTTAGTTATACTTCAGTAGACCAAACATGTAGCAGCTAAGCGATAATAGATTTGGTTTGGATTAAGTACAGTTACTTTTTTATAGTTCACATAAACTTCTAAATTTTATTAGACAATCTATGATCATTATTAAATTCAAAGAAAATTCATGCGGAAAGTTTGTTCTGCTAGTTACTAATCTTGTTCTAGGAGATTTCTATTAAAAGCATATTTATAAGACTTTAAATTGTCAATAATTTTGCATAACGAGCAATTTCTATGTTGAATTGGTTATAGTTTGACCAATACCGCTGTAGACTGTATGGAGCCGAGAAAATAAGAGCATGAGTGCCAAATAAGATCGATATTCGAATCGGATATACAGAGCGCAACAACTGATGCTTCTCTCGCCCGCCGCGTGAATCTACGGCGCGGTATAATCCCAAGCACGAAACTTTGCAAGATTTGGTAAATTCGCGCATTGTGTATTGTCTTGTTAATAAATATTTCTTATTTTAACTTTTAACACAATTTCCTTATTGTATCCTTTCGTTAACTTTCTTTCGAGTTGAAACATTAAATAAGATTAAATGGTCGCACAAGGCAGTGACTATAAAACAATGAGATATTACACAATGCGCACAACCCGCACCATGACAATGTCATGTTACCTGTCGGGTACTAAGTATATAGCAGTATCGGTCAAGCTATACTTACATATTTTAGTCGACTTTAGTTGGTGTATTGCTATAAAATTACATGTGGTTATTATACCTAAATATGTTATTGTAACAATTAGGTACTTTTGTTCTATGTTCAAATGATTGTCCTAAAAATATTGTACTAGTTACTTAAATCACGTTTTTTTTATTTCAATATGAATAAAGTGCAAGTAAATAAAGGTTATATGTTGTTATTTCTGACATTTAATAATAATAAGTCCATTACATTTAAAATGTTTTCTTTCTATGTGGCAGATGGTAGTAAATCTTCTGCTTGTGGAGAACTTGTTTAGAACGGTGTACAGAATGAAAAGCTGGCGAACTGTCAGAACATTGAATCGCTGATATATAGATCATGGGTTGGGTGACGAAAGGTAGGAATAAACTTACTTTAAGGATAGCCCTCTGGGCTCGTTCTAACTTGAGTAAGTAAGATTTGGCTGCACCACCCCATGAAGTTATGCAATAGGTAAATACGGATTGACATATGGCATAGTATACCTACAGTTTTAATTATTTTGCTATCTGCTACATGACAAAGATTCTTAAAAATAAATATTAATTTGCGGGTTCTGGTGGTAAGTGCCTCAATATGTAATTGGAAGTCGAGTTTATCATCGATAATAGCACCGAGGTATTTAATGTTGTTTGTTTTTTTAGTTCAGGGCAGTGACATCTTCCTAGAGCAGTTATGTGGTAAGTGTGTGTGGTTAAATGCAAGTTTGTATGTTCCTGTGTTCTTTTACTATAGGTCATATACATAGTTTTCCCAACATTGAGTGTGAGTAGATTCTTATTGAGCCATCGAGTTACCTCGTCTAGACCCTGTTGAGCCCATCTAAACGCTTCTTCCCATGTGTCACTATGAAAAAGTAGGGCAGTATCATCGGCAAACGATACAATTTTTCCATTCATCAATTCTGTTTGACATAAAGCATTTATGTAGGCTAGGAACAATGACGGGCCAAGGATACTACCTTGTCCCACAGGGTCACTCTCGCACACACACACACATACACTCCATAGGTAATTCAAACCACCAAAACCAAAACTGGGACTGAGATAGATTATTTTTTTCGAGAAATGTTACTAGCCTATTATTCAGTGGCTGTTTTAGTAAGATATATAAATTAATATACACTTATTTCTTTCACGGTTCCGTTAAACTGAAGCTTGGTCATTGTTCTCAGTCGAAATCGTTATCAATGGGATGTCCTCAGGGTTCTGTTATTGGCCTGTATTTATGGAATTTAGGATTTGATGATTTGCTCGCGATTCCCCTACATTGTGGCTGTACTTTAACTGGATATGTGGATGATGGCCTTTTGCTAGTACAGTCAAATACCCGCGCCGGACTGGAGAATTTCGCTAAAGACTGACTCAGTAGGATCTCGCGATGGGGCGAACGAAATCGCTTGACTTTTGCAACCCATAAAACTTACCAGCTATTGCTTAAAGGAAATCTAAAGTCGTGGCCGTCTATTAAATTTAACAACGTTTCCATAAAACGAAAGGAGTCTGTTTGTTACCTCGGTCTAGTTTTGGAAAAAAACTTTTCTTTCATTGAACATTTTAAGGCTATTAGTGAGAAAGCCAAAAATAACTTCCATGCACTGACGCGAATTTCAAAAGCCACCTGGGGTCTCTCTTTTCTTACGCTCAGGATCATATACGGAGCAACCTACCTGGGATGCGTGTGCTACGGGGCACCTGTCTGGGCTGATAGGGCCACAATAGGCGCGGTACGGCGAAAACTTCTCCAAGCGTCTAGCCTTCATTTTCCTGTGTAAGGCTTATATGACGGTTAGCACTGAGGCCCTACCTGTGCTCGCGGGTGTACTTCCGGTAGATATTGAGGTGCAGCGACGTGCTGCTATGTACTACAGTGCGAGGCCTAAATTGTCATCAAGCTTTCTAGCACGACGTGATAGAAATAAAATTGCTAGATTGTTTAAGCCAATAACGTTTGGGGCGAGCTTATAACTGAATGGCAGTGTAGATGGGCATCTTCTATTAAGGGCCGCCACCTATATCAGTTCTTCCCATCCGTGCATGAGCGGCTGGAGAGGACATGGTTGGAGGTGGATCACTGTGTTGCCCAATTTCTTACTGTCCACGGCAACTTTAAAAGCAAATTGTTCTCATTTAAACTTACTGATTCATCATGGTGCCAATGTTCGACAGAAGAGTTGCAATACGAGCAGTCGGCCCATCACATAGGTACTCTGGGAGTGTGATCTCTGGCAATATGAACGTAACACTATGTTAAATAATTTAATTGTTTCGTCAGGTGTAGCTTATTATACGGACCTTGTGGAATCTAGAACGAATTTCCGTGCGTTTAGGCGTTTTTGCCATACCTATTATTGGGAGCAAGTATCACACATAGGACCCACTTAGTTTTTAGTCAAATTTCCGTGGTGCTTGGCGACTGGGCTTCACCCAGTTGTACAGTCTCTTCTTTGTGCCTTTAGGCTTAATTCATTCTGTCTCCTGCAGTAATTCACCGAGGGAAGTGAAAACCATAGTTTTTCTTCTTCTCCTCTTATAATATCTTCTGATTCACTTCGTTGCGGGAACCAAGACAGTTACTCATGTCCCTGGGACGCGCCGGACTTCAGTGTTCCGGTGTTTTCATGGTTGTATCTACTGTAGATCCTGGCTTACAGGAGTTGCAGCGGTTTTGGGAGGTTGTGGCGGGCTTGTCCCATTAAAAAAAAAAAACCATCAGCCTTTTCTATAATTTTGGACATGGTTGGCAGAATAGAGATAGGTCTGTAGTTGTGGACACAGCATCTATCCCCACTCTTGAAAACTGGAGTAATTTTAGCCTTTTTAAAGGCTCGTGGAAGACACCCGTTTTGAAGAACGTATTGCATATGAAAGTTATTGGTTCAGTAAGAATATTTACATCTCTTTTCAACAAACTGCCTGATATATTATCAAGTCCTGCCGCACAATCATTTTTTATATTTAAAATAATTAAATAATTTAATTTTATCTTCGTCTGTGGGTAAAAGAGCCAGTGATTGAGGGAATAAATCTGTATCACTAAGGTCAGCTTGGAAAATAGGGTTATTTTGCTTACATTTTCTACTAGTCTTTCCTATTGTTGCAAAATATGAATTTACTTCGGTTACAGATTTAAGAGGATCTTCAGGTAAAGTTAGTTGAATGAATTGTTCATTCATTATTTTCGTATACGTTATGTCTTTGATAATTTCCCACAGTTTCTTGTTATTTTTACCTGCGTATGAAAACACATAATATGATATGACACATAATATTTACTTTCTTAAGAATGTTGTTGCAGAAGGTTCTGTATCTTTTATATTTTACTTGCATAATGTCATCGTTAAGGTTTCTTTTCGCCTTTTATTTATTTATTTATTTATTATTTATTTATGTACACACATACAACATAAAGGACAACACATACATAAAATTAAAGTACAAAGGTACCACCTATTCCTATTGGAATTTCTTCCTGTGGACCTGGAGCAGGAAAAGTAATAATAATATAGTGACACAGTGTGTAGCAACAAATAGAAAATTGGGATAGGAAACAGACTTAAAACTAAACAGATAAATAACCTAACAACTACATACAATAAGTATATAAATAAATACATACAAATTATAAATTATACATATAATTGAAGAAAATTTACATATCAGGAGGAAAGGTAGTGTTCTCTCACTCGTTTTTTAAAGATAGCGATAGACTCAGCGTCCCGAATGTTAGGCGGGAGCGCATTCCACAGTCTCACTGCATGAACGGAAAAGGAGTATGAATAGAAGTCGGAATTATGGGGTTATTATTTTTTTAATAGAGGTTATCGCGATTTCTCATGCACCTCAAAAGACTAGGAGTAATCCATGGCTTCAGGATATGTTTGTTTCTAGTAGTGCTAACTAGTCTGGTATTTTAATCAAGTGCGTGATTGAAAGTGAATATTAAATAGTCCGTGACTTGACATCCAACATCTCCTACATTGATGTGAAGTCAATACTTTTAATAGCGCTATCAAGACCTTCTATATTTATTCGCTTGTGTTGGCGTTTCAGTGGTTTATTATTTATTTTTGTTTTCATAAAAAAGTATTACACATACAAACCCATGGTCTGTAATAGATGAATTTGGAACATGAACATGCGCGGTTAGTTTGGTTTTTAAAAGTATGTGGTCTAAACAAGCTCGGCCATGTGTTGGGATGTTGTGCCCTGGTAGCATACCATGAGAACTAATGAGGTTAAGATAAAAAAGTGATCTATGGTCTCGATTGTCTGAAGCGATTTTAGGAAATTGTCTATATTTTTGTAGCTGGGTGGTCAATACATCTCGAAAATTATAGTGTCTGCATTTAATTTAAAGATTAAGCAGTTGGCATCTAGAAAATCTGGTTCAGTATACGTCGCGTCAATTCCATTCCTATAGTAAATAACTACCCCTTCGTTCTGCGTCTTATTTTTGTTAGTACAGAAGTAATTATACCCGTCCATATGTGGGATGTTATGATTACGCAATAGCCAGCACTCGGTCAAAACAACGGCATCGCAATATATTCTTGACCTATTCATTCATATTTCAAAGTTTACTAAGTTACAGTTTAAACTCCGGATATTTTGCGATATAACTTTTAGATTGATTGCAGTATTCAACTCCATCTTATAGCAATTAAATTATCCATACTGCAAGACTCAGATTGGGCTACCGATATGGAGTCGAGGTCATTATTGATGTTATTAGCGAATTCAGCCATATTTGTGAGGAAATAACAATATGATGCATCTAAGTGAAAGCATACAGAGCGTTTTCATATTAAATATGCACGTATATGTATGCAAATAACCCCAAAGTAGATAAGTCTTCGTGTTGAGAGTTATTATGGTGAGATGAGTGTGTAAGATACAACTAGGTAATGTGTAAGAAACTGTAGATTTGTGAGAGGTTTTTGGGAGTGATATGTCCAATAACGTTACAATTAGATTATAGTAAAATAAAATTAAAATAAAAAAGTACCTAATCAAATTAAAAATCGACATCGCGAATGAAAATGGAATCAAAGTCAAAATTTGACGCAAAATTAAAGTTAGAGTTACAATTAATATACACTTTTTTACAGATACAATAATTGGGATGATAGTAATAGCTAGTCACAAGCTTAGTATCTTCTCCAATCAAACGCCGTGT